TCAGCCCAGACGACCATTCTGAGGTATCCGGCTCAACGTGGCATTTTCGTAAGGGAATACGCCACCAATATGTATTCTTCTATTACGTACGTGCTTTCACAGACTCTGTTGGAATTACCGGTAGCGTTCATAGAGTCTATCGTCCAGCTCATTATAGCTTACTTCATGATGAACTTCCAAGGTAGTTGGATCTTATGGGTCCTGAATAATCTATTCATCAACTTGGTATCGGCATCCTTCGCCCAGTTCCTCGGTGCTCTAGCTAACACTGGTGCCCAAGCAATGCAGCTCATGCCGCTGATCATGGTCCCTCAGATGATCTTCTCTGGGATAGCTACTCCTATAAGTCAAATACCAGTGTGGTTACGATGGTTGCAGTATGTGAGTTTCGTGAAGTACGGTGTCTCCTTGGCCTACTTCAACGAATTCGGCTTCGATATGACCCGCCTGAACGAGACCAACGACATCCACTCTGATCTCGTTGGGTTATACATAGGTGTTCTATTTGCAATGCTCATAATACTGCGTGTCACGGCGACTATTGCTCTGAAACGCAGAGCTCGGTACGTGTACTAAGCCGTGGATACAGCAGCGCGTCAGTTCATTTAGGGCTGTTAGTCCTCAGACCGAGTCGTTCGGTCGATCTGTATATTCCCTATCCCATCCGCGTTACGGGGTAGTGTGTTCTCTCGTATCTGCTGTAATTCCTTACTATGTTATCTAAGTGATAACTCTGTTCATGCTGGAGGTGTAGTACTCAGTCACGTTGGGATTTCGACTGAGTCTCTCCAAGCTCGTAAACACTCCTCAAAAGTTCCCCATTGGCAGGCGTTGTCTGTCGTTCTTCTTCCTTCAATCACTGTTTGTTTCGTTTTGCAGAGTGATCATATGTACCGTATACGCTGTGGTCCTTGAAAGTTGTTGTTACTTATAAGGTTATGGCTTCGCAAATCCCAACTGCATTTTCGGAAGACAGCACCGTTGGTCTGCAGAAATTCCGATCGCTCTCCGTTAGCGGGTCCAAAATAAAGTAAGTCGTTTTGAGGTCTCCTTAATAGTTCATTTGCTGTCAATTTAGTGGTGCGAGTCTGGAGTGGACTAATGTCAACTTTGGTATAAAAGACAAAAAGGTTCTCATTGACTGCACTGGAATGGTGCGTCCAGGAGAGCTCACAGCTGTTCTTGGTCCCTCCGGCTCTGGCAAGTCCACATTGATGAACGTTTTGGGTGGACGGCAGAGCCTACGTGGGGAAGGCAGAACCTTTGATGGTGAAATCTCCTTCAACGGCAAGGTTCAAGATCCTCTCAATTTCCGAAGTCACATAGCGTATGTCATGCAAGATGATCATCTTACTGCCACTGCTACTCCGAGGGAGATCTTGGAGATGTCAGCCCGTCTGAGGATGCATGATCAGAGCAAAGCTGAAGTAAGCTGTGAACTACTTCGTCTTTGTGAGATGGTCTTTTTCTGTGCAGGTCAAAGCTTTGGTCACGGATCTCCTCGATTCGTTGCAGTTGACCTCGTGTGAAAATACCGTGGTGGGTAACGACGTGATCAGAGGCATCTCCGGCGGCGAGCGAAAGCGCACGTCGGTCGGGATGGAGCTCATCTCCAAGCCGCAGATGATATTCCTTGACGAACCTCTCTCTGGCCTCGATTCTTATGCTGCTGTAACTACTATGAAAGTTCTCAAGGACCTGGCTCGGTCGGGTGTAGCCGTGATGGTAACAGTCCATCAACCGTCGAGTGAGATATACTCCATGTTTGATAACATTCTGGTTATTTCTAGCGGTAGAATGGTGTACTTGGGCCCGACTACTGATCTCGAGACCTTCATTGAGGATACTGCACACAAGGAATGTCCATCAGATAGCAACCCTGCTGACTTCGTTCTCTCTGAGCTCCAGACTGCTCCGATGGCAGAGATAGAGAGACTTGCCGCCACCTATAAGAAGAAGGCCGAAGCCGAAATCATGCCTAGGATCGAAGAGTCTCGAGCTAAGGGTGCTCATGCTCCACCGCTCAAGGCGATGTCAAGGCCAGCTAGTATGTCACTGCAAATGAAAGAGCTTTTCCTCCGTGACGCCAGGGACACGATTCGTAACAAGTCTGTACTTATTGCTCGTTATGGCATCCTTATCGTTCTCAATCTCCTCTTTGGTTGTGTATTCTTCGATGCTGGCTCTACCCAAAGTGAGGAGTATTGGCTGACTAACGTTGAGCAGTTCATTCCTTACTATGGTGGTATGGTCACTGTCTGTATATCTGCCATGATGGGGTCGGCTCAATCGACCATCTTGCACTTCCCTGAGCAACGTGGTATCTTCCTCCGGGAGTATGCCAGCAATATGTACTCTTCCATACCCTATATGATATCCAAGATGTTGGTTGAATTCCCTCTTTCCTTCATTGATTCCATTGTACAAATTCTTATTGCCTACTACATGATGAACTTTCAGGGTAGCATTTTCTATTGGTTTTTGATCTCGTGGGTTATGAACATCTCTTCGGCCTCCATGGCTCAGATGGTGGGAGCCGCTACGAATTCAAGTGCCCAGGCTATTCAGTTGACACCATTGCTCTTCGTTCCACAGATGATCTTTTCTGGATTGTTCACTAGTATCAGTAACATCCCAGTGTGGCTGCGCTGGATTCAGTGGCTCTGTTCATTGAAGTACGGTGTGAATTTGGCCTTTTTCGCTGAGTTCGGATACGATTACACTCGACTGGCCGATGTCAATGATTCCAAGTCGAGTTTGGTGGGGCTTGATATTGGTGTTCTTCTGGCTCTCATTATTGTTTTCCGTATCGCTGCCAATATCATTCTGAAAAGGAAGGCTAGATATGTTTTCTAACCTCTGTTTCAAGTCTCTTGAGGAGCTGTTAGCTTCGGAGATTGAGTCGATCAAAAACTATCGATATATACGTGGCGAGGTTTTGTGACCATAGTATTTGTCCAAAACCGTGTTGCGATTTTCAGGTCGCGTTTTACGTAGCCACGGTCAGAAACCACATTCAATCATCGTCTGTATACAGACGTTGTCTGTACAAAAGTGTCCGTATTTTGCGTTGTCAAACAAGGTGCCTGGACGCATTATTAACAAGCTGTTGGTAACACCTAATTTGTCTCCTCTGGAAGCACATTCCGTACGCTCTACCAAAAGTTATGCCTAGGAGAAACGTGTTCCACAGGTTGTGTACCCGTGTATGATATTCTTTTCCTAGTGTCTGCTGAATGTGATCGGGAGAACGTTATGCGGCTGTCGCAATGACGCTCTCTTACCGCGCACTACGGAAGGTTCTTGGCGACCGTTACGGTTGCGTTCAAGGCTCGGCCATCATTTGTATTCAATACATAACTGTTGTGACGCTCAGTAGCCCTTGCTTATGGGCCTACTTCAAAAAACTATTTAGAGAAGGGATTCCTGAGGTTCAAGGGCCTCTTGGAATGAGGGACCCAGGAATCTCGACGGATTTCAAAATTCTGGACTTCTCTTCATACCATGGGGTGAGATTATGCCTACCATTATACTATAATGTTATTAGACATTGCTCGTTGAATTATCGACGGTGTTGGAATCGTGACTCATAATTAATATAATAAGGAAATCATCATGATCACTATTAGTGATGTTAGTGATTCACTTACATCACTGGTTTCATTTCTACTAACATCAGAATATGATACTCAGGCCAGCACTCGCAGGCAGCCACTGCAGGTGGGAAGGTGAGCCACGACTACTGGGGACTGATTGACCAGACATGCCCGCTGGCAAAACATGTGTATACCTACTGTAATGCATTATGCACCAGAGCTGCGTTTTCAAGCACTTTCGGTTCCTGGCATGGTACTACAGAAGCAAATATATCGAGTGAACATGCACTTGCACGCTGGCTTGAACGGCGGACATATTTTACATCCTTACAAGCTGAGAGTACCGGTGATTCGTCTGACGTTGCCTTCTGCTAAAGTGGATCCCCCATACTTCCCATTACTACGGATAGGCCGCAAGATACAGCATCGAGTCGAACGTCACCCACTGCGTCGCCGATGAAACAAGCAACACTTCTCTCCAGCCAGGAGCAAGCTAAATATTTAACGTCCGAATTTCTGGAGTTCTTCCTTCCTACTGGTTCTAAGTGTATCTGGCGTCAAGACGGCATTGAAGAACCAGCCACAACGAAAAAATGTAACTCGCGTTCGTCGAAGAATAGATACCGCCTAGCGTATACCCGTACTGCGGAAACGTCATCAGAAAGACTAGACATTTCAATGTTGAGGGCTATGACGAGGGGGGGGGGTCCTCCGTTGGCCCTGCCTGGCTACCTACCTAGATCTTAAATCGGTGCGTCAGGGGCCCTGACTCAGGGCGTAGCACTTCGCACTAGCTATTATAAGCGAGACGTTGACAAGTGTAGAGGAAGTGATCAACGACTTTTCTTGCCTGCCGATACCGGTCGGCCAATGATCATGTGGGCTGCAGACCGCAATCTAAATGCATTAAATGGTAGCAGTGGTCTTACTTTCGATGCTACATTTCCCGTGGCGCCCAAAGGATGGCAGCAATCCTGGTCATTCTCATCGAGAAACAGGGGTACTACCTTCCGACGCGGAAGACCCAGGAAGAGTATAAGAGGGCCCTGCTGAAGCTTTGAGATGTGCTCACTGGTAAAGGGGTATTCATATCTACTCGGTACATAGTTACTGGTTATGAACTCGCCATGCGTCAGGCCATCCTGAGGGTATGGGAAGTAGATCCGGAAAGGTTGAGAGGCTGTTTGTTCCATTTGTCCAAATCGCGGATACGGACATGGCCTATCAGTTGAAGAATGCAAGCTGCCCTGGGCAGATATGAAGGAGCACAAACCGCAGGGCGAGAAGGTACCGAAGCTTGTTTTGTATCTGGTCCAGATAATCTGGACTCCCACTACATGACCGACACCTCAACGTTTCCGGTGAGCCAGTGGGCAAGTTAGCCTGCCGAAGATATTCCTGCCCACCGGACAACCAATCTCTTGGAAGGTTACAACCAGTTCCTAGGAAATTGAATAACGGCCCGCTCTATCTTCAAGGTTTTCGGTAACAAGATTCTGTCTCTACAGATGGAGGCTGAGTTGAAGCTGAACTCGATAGACGCTGGTGAAGCAGCAAGCTCGACTAGGAGTAAGGAAGAGCCGCGGTTGAGGCATTACCAAGCCTACATGGGGGACGATCTCACGGCATTAATACCTGCAGCTGGTCGCCGGTTTATGTGGGGTTCGGCAGCGGATGTGATTGTGCATTTTTGGTTGAGCCTCACCTGCTGAAGCTCAGCTATCGATCTCGTCTGAATTTCTAACTTCGATGTTTTTTCAATAGTGTTGCGTTAAACCAGATGAAAGTAGAGTGTTTGAGCTGACACGAGCTTCGAGTCGCTGAAACTAAACGATATTCAATGAATAATATTCATTTTGATTGGGATTATTCAACCTGAATGTCTGTACAATGATGCGTACTAAGCAGCTGATCTCACGAGCATCCGATACCCGATATCAGATGCATACTCGGGTCGTGTGACTCGGCGGATATTACTCGCGAAGTCCCCCGAGTATAAACAGCCGGTCGCACTTACCAGTGCTGATTCCACGTAAAGGGATGTCATTATCGTGACCGTTCTGCACGGATTCGGACTTAGCTGTACTGCACTTCCCGTGATAGCAACTTGCTATTAGCAAGGCACTTTAGACAAACCGTTGTGAACTGTGAGCTGTCATATGCAGCCGGCATAATGCAGGATATTCATCGAGTATCCATGACAAACTAGCTAG